AAAAAAAAAAAAAAAAAAAAAAAAAAAAAAAAAAAAACACATCATGGTAAAATTAATACCTTCTCAGCTTCGCATCGAAGCTAAAATCCCACTAAAGAAAATAAATTCAACACTTTTTTTTTCGTTCTGTGACATCAGTAGTTTGTATTAAATCTTTTCTTATTTTTCCGCGGTTTAATCCCAGCAACTTTGGATCTGCCACTCTTATCATAAATTTCCACATAACACGATCAATCACATCATCTGCACTCACATTAGTCGTCCTCTTATCGCATTCAATAACATCCCTCCATCTCTTTTTTGGTCATCTTTTACCTATTCTTCTCTCAACATTCATTTCTATAACTGTTCAAACAGCTTTGTATTCCTCTCTCTTCATAAAACGACCAAACCATCCAAGTCTATTTTCTTTCAACTTATCTTACAGCCTCATTGAAATTACCTCATGATCTCCATTTTCAAATTTGTACTTTATATTCTCTGTCTTAGTCCTACTTATTCTTAATCCCTTTTCTTCAAAAGTTGATCTCCACACCACTAGCCCCATTGATTAATTTTCTCCTATTATCACTATCATCAGCGAAAAACACGCACCACGGTACATATTTTTGTATTTCTGTATTAATTTCATCCATCACTATAGAAAAAAGTAAAGACTTAAGCTAAAGTTTGGTACACTCCTATTCTTACTCTAAAATCTTGTTACTCCGCACTCACTTTTTACTTTGGTATAAGTGCCATCACACATATCCTTTATTATATTAACATACATTTTTGAGACTTATTTTCTCAATAGTACTCACTAATCCTCTCTTGTTACTCTATCATACTCTTTCTCCAAATATTAATATACTATACACAGCTTTTCCTTCTTTTCCTATACTTTTCTGTTAGTCGTCTCACACAAAATAATGGCTCAATCGTTGTTGATAGGTTTTTTACACTAATTGGCTAATTATGATAGTATTCCCGTACGGAGGCGTTGATTTAAAATATCTACAATAATCAAATTTTGTTCATAAATAATTAGTTATTCTGTGTTTTCAAAAAAAGAGACTTGTTTTGGTAATCATTGCGTCCAAATTCTTCAAATACATATATCATACACAGCTTTTTCTCCTTTTCTCTATATTTTTCTATTAATAGAATACGGGAAAAGTTTTTTTAAATTATTATGAATACTTGGAAAACCTGGGACAAAATTTTTTTTAATAAATTTAATAATAATTTTGAACTCATAATACCAAAAAAAGCCTTCTCTGAAATAATGCTGCCTTAGGCTACAACTTACTTGGCCTATCCCTAAATACGCTACTGAGGCAATATATATTTTATTTTCTATGTATTAATAAGTATATAAGCTACTTAAGTATTTTACAACTGAAAATGGTTATATTTTATTTAATTTCTTTTTCTTACTTCATAACAAATCAATTGAAATCGCTATTGAATTTTTAATTAAAACTTGGACAATGTGCAAAGTAAATATCCTGATAGAAATATTTAAGTGAAAGTGATCCATTAGAAGCGATTAATATTGTTGAAGATAATCTATTTCTTTTATAGATGAATTCATTGACCTAATTTAGTTCTATTTCATCTAACTTAGCTTAATCACAGCCTATGAATAGGTCAGTACCATATACATTAAAAGATTATAGCAATGAACTAGCACTTAGTTATAAAGAAAATACATATTGGTAACATAATTTTTTTTAAGAGAAAATGTTAAATGATAGATCTGACTATTAATATAATATATTAATTGATTTTTATTATGTATTTTTATCTCGCATAAAAAGCAAAGATCCTATTGATCTTTTCTATTTTCTTTATAAAAAAATATATTTTTCTTAATTTATGAAAGTACTTTAACGTTGTATTTCATTACCGTATATCTGATGTAGTATTTAAATTATTTAACGTGCGAACCATAATGCTGTTTTTAATTACAAATAGGGTTGAGAAACCAAATTATTTCGTTATTTTGAAATTTATAACCATATCTAGTAAGTTCATTGACTTATAACAAATATTTTTTAAGAATATGTCAGGTTGATAAATATAGAAACTAAAAGTATTGTAAATTAATTAATAAATACATTTTAGCTTCGATGCGAAGCTGAGAAGGTATTGGTTTTACTAAGATGTGTTTTTTTTTTATGTCTGTTACCACTTTTTCTCAGCTCTCACCGAACCGATTTCTTTCAACGATACGTCAAAAGATCACAAATCGTGTTTATTTAAAAACATTAGCCTCAAAAATTGAAAAAAATTTTCTCGTTCCCCGTAAATGGGGTAAACCTCCAAAAAAAATTTCAAATTTAAAAATCACTAACGGTAATGTGACCCGTGTCAGTGTCTATTGTATTTGAATTGAGAGTCAAATATTTATATTTACTTAATCGTTTTACTCGTTTTATGATATAATTATTATTGTCTTCCTTTGAGTCGATGTTTATATTTATTTTTCAGACAGTCTTCGGGGCGACCATAATATTTTGTTTAGCAGTAATTTTACCAATATAATTTTTTTAGCTTCGAGGCGAAGCTGAGAAAGTATTAATTTTACTATGATGTGTTTTTTTTTTTTTTTATGTGTCTGTTACAACTTTTTCTCAGCTCTCACCGAACCGATTTCTTTCAATGATACGTCAAAAGATCACAAATTGTATATAGTCGAAGACATTACCCTCATTCCCCGTAAATGTGGAAACCTCCAAAAAATCTACGAATTTAAAAATCGCTAATTTTCAAAATTTTTAAAAATTTTTTTACTTAAAAGTGCCATAACTTTTTCAAAAATGAACATATCAATATAATTCTTTTTTATATAGATGCATAATATCATTACCTTTCATTTGGTATATTTTTTTCATAAATTTAACCCTTAACCTGCCCACAAAGGGGGAATTTAAAATAACAACTTTTTCACAAAAAAATTACTTTTTCAACTTAAATTTTGAAAGTGTTCCGGAAAGTGTGACACTTTTATATAAATCTTAAATTAAAGCTAATGTAATTTACTTTATTATGCAAAAAAAAAATTTCGGACTTTATTTTATCTTCACGGTGAAAATGGCTACCGAATGCTATTATTGTGTGAAAATTCTCGATTTTATTTTTTACATTTTTAACTTTATAATGCTATGACATATTTAAAAGTGTATGGATCAACATTATTTTTTTATGAGAAATAATATTTTTTAATAATCCCTTTTTCATTCGGCATACTTTATCTTAATTAGGATATTAATAATGAACTAGCAGATCATGTAGCTTTTGGAATAATCCACCAATTTTTTAAAATTAAACACTATCTAAAGATTTGCATCAAAGCGTTTTTTTTTTTATAGTGATTTTAATCACTGTCAGATATCATTATACTTGATCTATCTATGCTACGTCACCACTGTGCCACGATCCCCTGTGCTGGGTTTTTTTAATATTTAATCTCAAATTTAAAATAATTTAGTTAAATTAATTATAAAACTTACTTATTATAGATTCATTAAATATATACGAATTTTGTATATTTAACCTGTGATCAATATTGAAATTTTTTTTCATGACTTCAAAAAGTTCCCTATGACTTTTTAATTCTGTTACAAATTGTTCTACTTGTTTCAGGTTTATAACCAATTCATCCAAACGATCATCAATATTACTCTTTGTATAATATCCAGTTAGAACAATAATGTCAAAATTATTTTTATACAAAAATGATTTTATTGAATTCATCAAAGTTTTAGATGACAATACGAGTAATTGATAATTTTTATGAATAAAATGTTTTAGGCATTGAAAGGTTTCTTTGGAAAGTATAAAAAAAACATCAGTTGGGTCATCACCGAAGAGATTCATATTGACAAAGTTTTGAAAACATTCAATTATTCTTTCACCAACAGAAATAATATGTTTATAGAATTTTAAAGGTTCTTCTTGGTAACTATGAAAATCGTATTGGTATATCGACGAACTAAGAATTTTGATAAAGAGTCTTACGAGTAAAGCAATAGGACGAAATGTTGCTGTTAGTATTAGTGTATGAAATATCTGAACATCTATATTGTAAAAACTATATTTGACGTATCTAAATATATCAAAGAGGGTGAATTCACTTTTGTCAGGACAGTTCTTAATAAGCGGTGCAAATCGAATTAAATCTAGAGCATATTCATTCCGACTGTTTAAATTTTGTTCATCATTAGAACTTTTCATTAGATCTTTTTCTGGATTTTCGCTATTATGCATCATTAAGTCATATAATAGTACATTTTTAGGTAAAAATCCCCAATATTGAGACATTTTAATAGCTTTATTAAAGACAAAATATACTTCACTGTGTTCTAAATTTTTTATGTTATCATCAGTGTCATTTTGTTGCTTATCAGTTTGTAATAATCGGTTTTTAAGTTTTTTTGCAACATATTGAAAACTTTCAGGAGTATATTCTCCTGATTCGTTGTAATCAGGACAATAAATAAATACCTCATCATATTCCACATTATTACACACTTTATTTGTCATCTTCTCAAACTGATCTAAAAAAAAATCATGAAGTATCGTGTAACCTTTAAGAATACTTGAAGTTTGATCTGACAAATCAAATATTCCGTCATCATTTTTACCATTGAAATTGACATATTCAGAAACGTTATTTAAATATAAATTGACTGACATTAATTCTTTTGAGTATAAACTTTTGTTAGTTTCCCTTAAAACATATAACATTACCAGTGAAATTTCGCCATGAGTTTTTATTGCGTCACCATATTTGTTTAAACTAAGCACGTCATATTTTTCTATATTTTCACTAATCTCTGTTAAATATCGATTGTTATGATTAAAAAAATTTAACATATACTTTATAAAATTACAGTGAAGTTTATTAAAGTATAATCCAAGAATTAAATGAATGAGCAATAATAATATAATTTTTGTTAGAATCATTTTTTATCTTATTATTATAAAACACTAATATTTTTCGATTCTGTTATAAGCTATTTATATATTACATTTAATAATTTGTTATTTATTATAACTTACCATGTGATTAATAGTATTATTTATGACGTTATTTATTTAGGTGTTTTTTTTAATTCATATATATTTTATGACAATTATTTTAAAAATTTATCAGTGTTTAAGTTTACATTTACATAGTAATTTATTAAACTAGTACATTGTACAAACATAATATATACAATATACATGTTTATCTAATAGATTTGTTACATCAATTTTTATAAACCACGATAAATAATAAGTTTATTCAAACAGATGCGGTCCTATGGTAAGATGAATCATCCCCCCAACTAAAGGTATCGAGTCAACAAAAATTAATTGCATTTTAATTTTGACCTCCGATATTTATATGAAACAGAAGTTATAAGCAAAAAAAATGCTTGTAGTTATCCAAAGTCCAAAGGATTTTAATGATAATGAAACAGGAGGGTCACAGCACAGTGGTGAAGTGGCATAGTTCGATCAAGTATAATGATATCTGACAGTGTTTAAAATCACTATCAAAAAAAACCCTTCGATGCAAATCTTTAGATAGTTTTTAATTTTAAAAAATTGGTGGATTATTCCAAAAAATACATGATCTGCTATTTCCTTAATAATTATTAATATCCTGATTAAGATAAAGTATGACAAATGAAAAAGGGATCATTAAAAAATATTATTTCTCATAAAAAAATTTAAAAAAATTGTGTTGATCCATACATTTTTCAAAAAGTTATAGCATTATAAAGTTAAAATATAAAAAGAATTTTTTTACAAAAATCGTATTTTTTTTATTAACTTTGATGTCTGTTTTCACTGTGAAGACAAAATAAAGTCCAAAATTTTTTTTTCCATAATAAAGTATAATTACATTAGCTATAATTTAAGATATATATAAAAGTATCAGACTTTCTGGAACACTTTTAAAAGTTAATTTTTTGTGAAAATTTTGTCATTTTAAATCCCCCCTGTGGGCAGGTAAAGGGTCAAATTTATAAAAAAAAATATACCAAATGATAGGTAAAGACATCAAGCACCTATGAAAAAAAAACTACATTGATTTGGTCATTTTTAAAAAAAGTTATGACAGTTTTAAGTAAAAAAAATTTGAAAAAATTTCGAAAATTAGCGATTTTCCCCCATTTACGGGTAACGAGGAAATTTTTTTCAATTTTTGAGGCTAATGTTTTCAAATAAATACGATTTGTGATCTTTTGACGTATCGATGAAAGAAATTGGTTCGGTGAAAGCTGAGAAAAGTGGTAACAGACATAAAAAAAAAACACATTATAGTAAAACCAATACCTTCACAGCTTTGCATCAAAGCTAAAAGCACAACGTTTCTAAACGATATAATGAAAGCTTTCTAAGAAGACTAATTTAAAAAAAGTTCTATTTAAAAAATATTTTGGTTTTTTTCGTTAAAAAAAATTGTCGATCAAAAATATAGGAAGGTTTCAATGTTGAAAAAATTTTCAACATACAATTTAAAATTCATGTTTAGGAAAATTAAACAATTGCACCACCTTAGAAAAATTTATTAGATCATCACTGATATTTTACGTTATTTTAGGTTTTAAATAACTGTCAGACTACAGTTTTTATACAATAAATAACAATATTTTTATTTGTGTACATAAATAACATTTTTAAAAATTTACATGTTTTAAATGTTTTAAATAAATCAAAGTAGTGATTCTGTAAAAAAAATTAATATAGTACAAAAATATCTTGTTAATGTTTTAAAGTTAGGTTTCTATAGCATTTACAAATTAAAATTTTTTTCGTATATATTTTATGATGTTCATTGATAGTCATATTGTGAAGAAAAGGATAGAAGTATACGAAATATTTACACAAATGATTATAAATATCATAATTTACCAAAAAAACAATTTTATTATTACCCCAATTAAATAATCTAGTGTACACCACAGGTCACAAACATATATTTTTTTAAATTGAAATAAATTTTAATAATTTTTTTTCCATTGTAATAAACAAAAATTAAGAATCTGGCATCATCTCGATGATGGTGGTCATATTTAGGTCATTGACAATAATATAATTAAAGTGAAAGGATCTTAGGGTATTGGTGCTTACAAAAGCACGTCTGATATATGTCAATTATGGATAAAGATAACTTATTACTTGCTCCTACAAAAGAATATTATACACTTAAATTCACACGATCAGTGAATATCGTATTTTTATTACACCTTTTTCAGTTCATTTCCTCATTAGTTCATTGCTCTAATTGTTTAATATTTAAAATTCTACGATAAAGATATTATTATAGATTTATTATACAAAATAAAGGTCTTTACTTATCTCTAATTATCCTGGTGAAATAAATATTCGGTTACGATGAATCTTGTAGTTGATATCACTATTAACGATAGAGGGTAAAACAACGTTTGAGGTTTTATTTTTATAGTAATTGGTATTTAAAGTTTTAACATAACTTTCTTCATTTATTAGATAGAAAACTTTAAAATTTCAAATTTTTAAATTAATATACATGCATCATATATGAGAGATTACAAATATAAGTAGCTAATCGTTTTATGCTATTGCGGATACGGAGCGTTTATTGTCTATTATGACTTTATCAACAGATATCCTTAAAGTGAGGTTGTAAGGCACATTATTGTGAGTTAACATTTATAAATACACCAACTGGCAATACAAGAAACATAGGTAGTCATAATTGGCTATACAAATGCTCTGTATCGGTGATAGCGGTATCATAAAAAGACAATTAGCTAACCGTATTTGTAATCCTTTATATTATTATACATGTATTAATTCAATAATTTGAAACTTTAATGTTTTATATCTAATAAACCAATAAAGTTATATTAAAAATTCAAATATCATCAACTATTAAAATAAAACCTCAACGTTTTATTAAATTTAAAATATGTGTTCCCGTTTGAAGAACAAAGTTAACACCCTATAAGACATAACGGATGGAATTAAAAAGTATTACATAGCTAATAGTTCAAGAATAAAATGTAACTAAAGTTTTTCTTTTTTAATGGCCTTTGGTAGTCCACAAAAGGGGTATAGCAATCTCTAGCGAGATTCTGAAGATATGTTTTGTTGGATTTGATTGGTCGAAGTAATAGAATCTTTTTCGTGGTTTTATGGAATACTTAGGAGAGTAGTTGAATTTTATGTAAAAAAAAGTATTATTTTTGTTTTTATTTTATCCACGGAAACACTGTTTCGGTAATTTATATTTATTGAGTATATGTATTAGTTATTACATATAATATAATATATTACTACACCATGTATAAAATAAAGTTTTATTCATTAGTCCTGTGCCGCAACTACTAAACTGAGGGACCGCGTATGAATGTATACTATATCACTATAATTTTAAAAATAATGGCCATTGCATTTGAGGTATGTGTACATGCACACCTTGTACTCTCGAGTTTTGTGGCTCTGCTTAGGTTCAAAGTTATCGAGGACTTTGCTTTGTAATTTTGTTGTGAATATTTTTCAAATAATTTATAAAAAAGGTCAAACAAATAAAGTTTGTACCATTTGCAATTTATTATTTAATGTTATAAATGTGTTCTACTTGTTTAATAGGAAAAAACCCAGCACAGGTCGCGGCACAGTGGTTACGTGGCATAGTTGGATCAAGTATAATGATATCTGACAGTGATTAAAATCACTGTAAAAAAAAAAACGCTTCGATGCAAATNTATCTGACAGGATTAAAATCACTGTAAAAAAAAAAACGCTTCGATGCAAATCTTTAGATAGTGTTTAATTTTAAAAAATTGGTGGATTATTGGAATAATCCACCAATTTTCTAGTTCCTTATTAATATCCTGATTAAGACAAAGTATGTAGAATAAAAAAGAGATTATTAGAAAATAGTATTTCCCATAAAAAAATTATATTGATCAATACACTTTTCAATAAGTTATAGCATTATAATGTTAAAAATGTAAAAAATAAAATTGAGAATTTTCACACAATAATAGCATTTGGTAGCCATTTTCACCTTGAAGATAAAATAAAGTCCGAAATTTTTTTTTTCCATGATAAAGTATATTACATTAGCTTTAATTTAAGATATATATAAAAGTGTCAGACTTTCCGGAACACTTTCAAAATTTAAGTTGAAAAAGTCAATTTTTTGTGAAAAAGTTGTCATTTTGAATCCCCCCCTGTAGGCAGGTAAAAAGTCAGATTTATAAAAAAAATATACCAAATGATAGGTAAAGACATCATGCATCTACAAAAAAAAGAATTATATTGATCCATACATCTTTCGAGAAGTTATAGCATTATAAAGTTAAAAATATAAAAAAGAATTTTTTTACAAAAATCGTATTTTAAAAATAGCATTTGGTAGCCATTTTCACCATGAAGATAAAATAAAGTCCGAAATTTTTTTTTACCATTATAAAGTATATTATATAAGCTTTAATTTAAAATATATATAAAAGTGTCAGACTTTCCGGAACACTTTCAAAATTTAAGTTGAAAAAGTCAATTTTTTGTGAAAAAGTTGTCATTTTGAATCCCCCCCTGTAGGCAGGTAAAAAGTCAGATTTATAAAAAAAATATACCAAATGATAGGTAAAGACATCATGCATCTACAAAAAAAAGAATTATATTGATCCATACATCTTTCGAGAAGTTATAGCATTATAAAGTTAAAAATATAAAAAAGAATTTTTTTACAAAAATCGTATTTTTTTTATTAAGTTTAATGTCTGTTTTCACCATGAAGATAAAATAAAGTCCGAAATTTTTTTTTACCATTATAAAGTATATTACATAAGCTTTAATTTAAAATATATATAAAAGTGTCAGACCTTCCGGAACACTTTCAAAAGTTAAGTTGAAAAAGTTAATTTTTTGTGAAAAAGTTGTCATTTTAAATCCCCCCTTGTGGGCAGGTTAAGGGTTAAATTTATGAAAAAAATATACCAAATGAAAGGTAATGATATTATGCATCTATATATAAAAGAATTATATTGATATGTTTATTTTTGAAAAAGTTATGGCACTTTTAAGTAAAAAAATTGGAAAAAATTTCGAAAATTAGCGATTTTTAAATTTGTAATTTTTTTGGAGGTTTCCCCCTTTTACGGGGAACGAGGGAATTTTTTTCAATTTTTAAGGGTAATGTCTTCGACTAGATACGATTTGTGATCTTTTGACGTATCATTGAAAGAAATCGGTTCGGTGAGAGCTGAGAAAAAGTGGTAACAGACACA